ACGTCTGGCCAGCGGCGCTGACCGCGAACGGGCGTTCCCCCAGCCCTTTCGGTAGCATGCACATGATCTCCGTCTTTGGCTCCGATACCATCAGTCCGAACAGGCCGGCCACGCGCACGATGATGGACATCATCTTTTCGAGGCTCTCCGGCGTGAGCGAGACGATGGCCGCGTCGTCAGCGTAGAGCATGTCCCACAGGGCCTCTGCGACCGTCACCATCATCGCCTTCTTCCCCGCCGACCTGCCCCTCTTGCCCGTGCACTCCACTCGTGTTGCGATCTTGATCATATCCGCCGTCACCTTGGGGTCCTTGTCGAACTCGGTCACTGCGACCATGCGCATTGCGGCAGAGAACAAGTTGAACAGCAGCAGCGGGGTGGTCTAGAGGGTAACCTCGCAGCCTGCTAAGGGCCAGGTCATGGGTTCGAGTCCCGGCAGAGTGAGTTTTTTCTCACAAAATAAATAAATCCTGGTCTAGGATGCAAGCGACGCGCTGCAATGCTCGTTGTTAGTAAACCATACTCGACTTCGTAAGTCGCGAGGGAAGGGATTGCCGTACCCTTCTCGCGATAAAAATACCTCAGGCATGAACCGCAGGAGGGGGTCCAGCCCCCCTCCTATGTGACCCCGGTTGGGTCGTCTAGCTGGTAGAAGTGGAGGATAGGGGCCAGAGGAGCAGTCGACAGGGTCCAATGATGAGAGAAGAAACAAAAAAAACAAAAACCATTTCCTTCGGCCATGTATTTACTTTCTTTCAGCGGCACAATGGCCTGCTAACTTAGCGTTTAATTGCGGCGAGCCCAGACGTCGCGCAGCCCACATTCGGCGTGGGAAACGAGGTAAAGACTAAAAAAGCGCCAAGTTGACCGTAGCATGCGGGCGGGTCATCAACAGCGAGGCTCTCTGACACGCTTCATGAATACGTGTCAGGCTTGTGCCCTCACATGGCATGTGGTGTTTCTGGTGGAAACGTGTTGGCACGGTTCGCTTCTTTTCTACATTTTTTTCTATTTTGTCTCCCATCATTGGACTCTGTCGTATGCCCCTCTGGCCCCTATCCTCCACATCTACCAGCTATTACGGAGGAACACAGAATTCAAGTCTAAATTGCCCTGAAAAAAAAAATTGAAATATTTTTTCTATGCTATATCCGAAAATATATGCATTTGTGGCCTTCAGAACAGATCTTCGGACACCCATAAGGAGGGCACGAGTATGAACGTGGAATCAAGAGAAAGCTCATGACCACAGCTCTCTGTAGATACCCGAGTTGCGCTCAAGAGGTTCTGTATTGCGTACAAAATATGCAACTGAAAATGGGCACTTCAAGCGCCTTTTTTTCACTGGGAAATAGAGACGGAACAGCCTGGTTCTAAATTGGCAACGCAAACAGAACGTTTTGGAAACCCTGGGAGTGTGTGACGTGCAATCGGCCGGCGATGGCCTATCGCGCGTAGATATGTGTGTAGATGTGCCAGTGGGGTCGTGGGTTTGCGCGTCTCAAAGTTGCTTGCGATCAAAGTGTGTTTCTTAGGCCTTCGTGGGCTGGGAACAGCAGGGAAATTTAACACTGAACCAGGGGGGCACGCGGCATCAGCTGGCACAAGCTAATTGCGCCGCTTCCTCCGTATCTATATAGTTGCGCCGCTTCACTTTCTCTCCAACTCTCTCTCTCTCTCCCTCAACTAACTGCAATTCCCTCATAAGCTCATCATTCCAACCATAAACCAACACCTTCTCAATTCTAGTCTCCACCTCATACTCTTTTCTTGACCTTCCATTCCATCACGCCTCAACATATATACTGCGATTAAACTACCCCAAGTCTTCTCACCCTGACCTAACCTAGGGTTGACTTATTGCACGACATTCGCCCCCCCCAGGTTCAACGCATACTTATCTGCGATCAGTCTCGTTTGAATTAACACTTGACCGTAACGTGCAATACCTGACCTACAATCAATGTCATTTTCTTGCAGCTAGTCCGAACATTAATCACCAGAATTCAACTGATGCAATACACACACGCTCCAATTCCGCCAAGACCGTGGCACCAATGCAATAGGACTCCATCTTCAGGTACATTCTTAAGCCAAAAAAGGAATCGCTCAGCACAACATAAATTTGTTTGACCCGTATTCGACTGCACCACTTGGCACACTTTTCCGCAGTCCTACGCACTTCAAAAACACTACATAATTTTGACCCGTGTTCGACTTCACCACTTGGCACACTTTTCCGCAGTCCTACGCACTTCAAAAACACTACATAATTTTGACCCGTGTTCGACTTCACCACTTGGCACACTTTTCCGCAGTCCTACGCACTTCAAAAACACTACATAATTTTGACCCGTGTTCGACTTCACCACTTGGCACACTTTTCCGCAGTAGTACGCACTTCAAATTCAAACACTTAAGTCATCTTCTTTAACTCAAACATGTACTTCTTGACACTTTTTGCCGTTCGGTGTGCATGCCAGCACCACGTTCCTGGATCTTGTACCAGGTTGTCCGTCGTCAGATTCTTGTTCAGAAGCGCCACATTGATGTTTTTGCCGATGTCCACCAGCTTGATAGTACGCTTGATGCCTTCTTCCCACCTCGGATCCGGAGTCACCTGCATCACCTTCGCAAACTGCCACCCCGCCCTCACAGTCTTAAAAAACATATAGGCACCAATCATCACCTTACTTCGAAGACTCGGTCTACCCCGTATGTCACAACAAAGTTTGTAATCTTTCTGCACGTATCTTTCTCTCTTCCTGCTAGCAATCGTCCGTTTTGCACCCTGAATACGGTACCTCCGATACCTAATGTTCCCTCCGGCCGATTGTTCCGGCTGCTCATTCAAAGTATCACGTCCCCATATTGCTCTAACTCTACTTCATGCTCCCACGTACACTTAGCCAACCCCGTCCAATGCGTGTAGTACTGAACCGCCCCCTTCCCACTAATACCTCGACAAATCCTGTGCCTTGATATTTTACACGGGACCAATTCTTTACTATCCAATTCTTCCTCCACGTCCTCTGCCGTAAGGTCGAACGGAGGCGCCAATTCTGAAAACTTATTCAACACATACTTGCTAAAGCCCCACGGCAAGAACCTAGGTCTATCTTCGTTTTCATGCTGAGCATAGCACTTCTTACACCGATATACCGACACCCTCTCGTTAATGTTCTTTCCGGGCTCATCCTTATTCACGTCCAAAAGTTCAACACCTGATTGCTCTTCTCATGCTTAGCCTTGGTTATCTTATCCTGCTCTCTTACCAGCTCGTGCGCCTTCCTTCGCTTATCCCTCATCAAATTCAAATAATCCAATAGGTCTTGCTTTCGACCCTGATTTCCCGAAACACCCCTTCCCTCCAAGATCGTCATCGGCAACCTCGGGTACCTTCCAATGTGTACAACGTTTGGTGCTAGCCCCGTCCCTCGGCTCACGTTATTGTTGTGTGCCGCTACCGCGTGTGGTAACATCTCATTCCAATTCGCCTGATCGTCCGTAATCAAGTGCGACAATATTTGACACAGCGTGTGATTTAAACGTTCCACCATCCCATTCGTCTGCGAATGATATGAGCTGGTAAACTTCTTTACAGTTCCCAGCATCTTATACACCCTTTTCGCTACCTCATTCGCAAACTCTGCTCCCCTATCTGACAACATGGTGTGCGGACAACCCCACCTCGCGATATAGTCGTTCACCATGATAGACACAAAACCCTTCGCATTTTTCTGCGCCTTCGTTAGTGGGTACCCCTCGGCATGCCTGCTGAATAAATCTACCACCAGAAACACGTACTCGTTGTCTTTCGTCGTTTTCGGCAACGGCCCCAAATAATCAAACGACACCATCTGCCCCGGTCTGCTCGGTAGAGGCAACGACACTAACGGCCAACACTTCGTATGCCGCGGCACCGTCCGAAACTGACAAGAATAACACCTACGGATCCACCACCGCACGCTTTCAGCCATTCCTATCCACCAGTAAATCCTCTGTAAAATACCTAAAGTCACCTTCTCTCCCAAATGCACCGCTTCCTTGTGGGCACAATCCATGACCCACGGTCTCAACATCCTAGGCACATACGTCCGAACTGGCTCTTCACCCACCAACCTCTCAAATTGCCCTGGATTTCTATTTGGATTTTCCGCAGGGGCTTTCAATTCTTTCCTCACCAACAAATGCTTCGAATTTGGCAACACCAACAAAGTACCCTGGGAAACCAACCGCTTCAACTCATCCAAGTCGACATCTACCCCTTCCGGAATATCTCCCTCCTTCACTCTCTTTGGATCAGCGTGCCCTTCAATTGCCGTAATTGCTAATCGCGCCGTGTCGTCTTCCTCCTGTATATCTGCCCAATCACTAGCCGTCTCGTGACATAATTTTTTCCCAAATTCAATTGCCGCTTGCGTCTGTTCTTCATCATACTCTTGCAACGGAATTTGAGGCAACGGAGGTGCTGCCGGACCCCTGCCCCCGGAACCCCTTCCCCTACCAACACCGGACCCAATCGCGAAGGTAGCACCCCGCTCGCACCTATCATATAAACATCAAGATCAGACGGATCAGTCAGCCTGACATCTGGTGCCTCGTCCTCTTTTGTCGCAGGCAATGGCAACCGTGACATCAAATCGGCATTTGCATTCTCTCGCCCTGGTCGATACTTCAGTTCATACGTGTACGCTGACAGGAAGTCATACCACCTCTGTACGCGATTGTTTTTCTCTGCCAAACTCCCCAAATTTCGCAAGGGTTGATGGTCACTGTACACTTCAAAGGGGATGCCATAAAATAGTGTTCGATTCTTCTTAATCGCCCACACTATCGCACCCGCTTCCAGCTCAGTCGGACTCCATCTGGTTTCATTCGGGAATGTGGATCGGCTCAAAAAGCATAGCGGTCTAATACTCCCATCTCGTTGCTCTTGCTCAATTACGGCTCCCAAGCCCGAAATCGACGCATCAGCGGTTAGCCGAAACGGCCGCTCTCCCGATATCGCACCCTCATAACACGGANTATTGGGGATGCCACAAAATAGTGTTCGATTCTTCTTAATCGCCCACACTATCGCACCCGCTTCCAGCTCAGTCGGACTCCATCTGGTTTCATTCGGGAATGTGGATCGGCTCAAAAAGCATAGCGGTCTAATACTCCCATCTCGTTGCTCTTGCTCAATTACGGCTCCCAAGCCCGAAATCGACGCATCAGCGGTTAGCCGAAACGGCCGCTCTCCCGATATCGCACCCTCATAACACGGAAATGCCAAGACCGTAGGACCAGACAGAATATCCATCATCTTCCTTACCACCGCCACATGATCAGCCGTGAACGCAAACTTCTCTCCCTTTTTCAGCATTGCATTGATCGGTTTCAATTTTGCCGACATGTTCTTCAGGAACTTCCGATAGTACGACAAAGACCCCAACAACGATCGTAGCTGGCTAACATTAGTGGGCATTGGCACTTCACGCAGCGGTCTGACCTTTTCCGGGTCCGGCCCGATCCCTTCCGCCGTGACTTGATGCCCCAAGAACGTCACCACCTTCACCCCCAGGTTCGTCTTCTTGGGTGCCAGTTTCAGGTTGAACTTGACCATACGCTCGAAAAACCTTTCCAGGTCGCGCACGTGTCCTGCCCCGTCCCTGGAAAACACAATCACGTCATCGATAAACAGACGCACACGTTCCAGTCCGTCACATACNAAGAATATCCATCATCTTCCTCACCACCGTCACGTGATCAGCCGTGAACGCAAACTTCGCTCCCTTTTCAGCATCGCATTGATCGGTTTCAATTTAGCCGACATGTTCTTCAGGAATTTGCGATAGTACGACAAAGACCCCAACAACGATCGTAGCTGGCTAACATTAGTGGGCATTGGCACTTCACGCAGCGGTCTGACCTTTTCCGGGTCCGGCCCGATCCCTTCCGCCGTGACTTGATGCCCCAAGAACGTCACCACCTTCACCCCCAGGTTCGTCTTCTTGGGTGCCAGTTTCAGGTTGAACTTGACCATACGCTCGAAAAACCTCTCCAGGTCGCGCACGTGTTCTGCCCCGTCCCTGGAAAAAACGATCACGTCATCGATAAACAGACGCACACGTTCCAGTCCGTCACATACTCTGGCCATCACCGAATGAAACCACCCAGGACTACTACTGAGACCTTGCGGGACGGATAATAATTCGTACAACCCCGTAGACGTGATAACCTCAGTGATCGGAATGCTGTCCTCCTCAATACCGCGCTGGAAAAACCCACTGACGAAATCCAGCGTACTGAAGATTTTTGATTTGTCCACTTCCGCCAATATATCCTCCACTATCGGAATGGCTGTGCCCCCGGCTTCAAAATGATTCGAAACGGATCCACCGTCACCCGTCCTAAATCCGAACCACCCTTTGAAAAACGATGCTCAAACTTGCACAATAAATCACCTAGTTTGTCAATGTCCTCTGCCTCCCACAGTTTCGCATTGAAGTCGAAATGGACGTCTCGAATGTGCGGAGGCACCCTTTGCCACAACCGCCGGAACGCCCCCTGTTGCGCCCCATTCAAAGAAGAAATAACATCAGAGGGGGGTTCGTCGTCAGGCATATCAGCCTCTTCACCCTCCTGAACCGCAAATACATTTTTGAATTCCTCATTTTCCACCAAACGAGCATCATCCAAATTTACCACCTCCAGGGGTTCACCACCATACCCCAAAATATCTTTTGGTTTCACCAGACACGAGCTATCCCCCACTCTTCTTAGAGGAATTTCAGACGTGCCATTTTCGACTAATGCTTCCTGCGGGAACCACTTTTTTCCAAACTGCACCCGGTACGTCCCCACCGCAGCATCACTGCCATCAAGGTTGGTTAATTTTACCTCAANTTCCTGCCACCTTATCAGTATTTTCACCGACAAAAGCGACAATTGTTTCTGTGTCCGACACGTCTTGGAATCTGCGAACTGGAAAATCAGCCCACCTATCCCTCCCAAGTATCAGATCATGTCCCAGAGCTGAGTCTGGCACGATGTACGCATACCCACTCGTCCTTACCGTCGGCGTACCGAAATGGACCGGCGCTGATTTTCCGCCCTTCCACATTTCAATATTTAATCGCATTCTTCGATCTGTGACCAACGGCACCCCATGGAACCCACCCCATTTCTTATTCAGTCCTGTTTCAATGCTATCAGCTGAAGCCGAACCAAATTCTAACATCTTTTGCACACACCTTTCTTGTACAAACGATGCCGGACTTCCCGTATCCAACAGAGCCTCCCACGACATCAACTTAGTCGCTCTCGACCCCGCGAACACTTGAACTCTAGTCGTATGCCGATGTCGATCCATCGTAAAATCTCCACCGACCGACCGAGTATATGGTGTCAGGTAATCCGCCGCTTCACCTGCAGCAAACGTAAAAGGAGGCGGAGGGTACACTGCATCACTCGTTTGTCCTGACACAGAGTTAACAGATACTTGTACGGCAAAAATGCGATCTGTTCCTTCTTGTGTTTCACCAAAATTTCCTCCCTTCTGCGCTGTTATCTCAACCTCACGCTTNTCAATGGTAACGCTTTTTTCCTTTCTAGTGTCCCTTTTAATCGACCCCTTTTTGGCTCCATTTCGACCAACTGTGTGTTCCGCTTGAGGATACAGCGGACACCTCACTGTTTTCGGAGAATTTGCCTTGCGTGTTTCCTTCCTTCGAGTGTTTAACGCATTCCCCGCTGGTGTTGCATTGTCAGTAACATTTCCCNTCTGCGCTGTTATCTCAACCTCACGCTTGAGAGAATTTTCGGAGGCGGATGCATCCCCTATCACGCCCTCTTCTCCTATCACTGGTTAAGCAACAGTTTCATGGTTCTGCTTGCTGCCAGCACGATCAATGGTAACGCTTTTTTCCTTTCTAGTGTCCCTTTTAATCGACCCCTTTTTGGCTCCATTTCGACCAACTGTGTGTTCCGCTTGAGGATACAGCGGACACCTCACTGTTTTCGGAGAATTTGCCTTGCGTGTTTCCTTCCTTCGAGTGTTTAACGCATTCCCCGCTGGTGTTGCATTGTCAGTAACATTTCCCATTCTGCCAATGCTAGACTTCGGTTTATCTGACGAAGGGGGCGTGTTCGGCATCCCTACTTCTGGAAAATCTCTGTGTGTCTTACTAGTGATTGGTTCCTGAAGCTGTGCACGTGCATCTTGCGACACACTACGACCAAGAATTTCTTGCGGGGTACTAGTCCTCAATACATTCTTGCTCCCACGGCCGACACCCGTGCAGCTCAATTTGTCAGCACCCGAAACCACTTGCAGTTTGGGATAATTACTTCCACCCTGCTTGGAATACTCCTTAGATACTGAAAAACGTCGCTTAATGTGGTTGGACGAGACGATCCCCGTCGCCAGGCCATCACCCTCGGTGTTGTGCACCACCGATCCTCCCCCCTCCTCCTCAACAATCCCACCCTCCGAGTCGTCTTCGATGTTCTCGCGTGATGATTGCTTTCGCTTTATTTCAGCCTCCCCGAGATTCTGTTTTGATCCCGGTCCTGGGCTCTGCTTTCTTCCCTTCTGTCCGCGATATTTCTTTTCGTCATCACAATACCCGGGACCTCCTTCACCCTGCACCATCACTCCTCGAGATATCTCTTCAATCTCGTAATATTTTTCACCCCTTCCACTCTTCACTCCTTGAGATTTGTTTCTAATCTCGCAATACTTCTCACCCCTTTCACCCTTCGCCTCTCGAGTTTTGTTCTTAATCTCGCAATACCATTCACCCTGCACCATCACTCCTCGAGATTTGTTTTTCATCTCGAAGTACTTCTCACCCCTTTCACCCTTCACCTTCACCTCTCGAGATTTATTTTTAGTCTCGCAATACTGTGCACCTCTTTCACCCTTCACCTCCACCTGTCGAGATTTCTCTTGTATCTCGCTGGTTCCTTTCTTCCACCTCCACCCATTGTGGACACCAGACTTTGGAGAGCTTCCACATCACCCCCAAAATGCGACTGTAACAAGTCAAGGATCGCACTTGATGTGTCTCTCACCTTCCCCCCACCCGGTGGCTGCCCACCAAGGGACTCTCCATCCCCTCCACCACCCTCGTCCGAGGCACTGCTCCCTCTACCATCTTCCTCCACCTGGGCATCAGGCCCCCTCTTGCGCTTTTCTTCCTCCTTCATGGGCACTTTGCCTCCCCCATCACCTGACGTACGAGAAATAAAATGACCCGCGTCAGGTGTCTGTGACCTTCTGTTTCTGCGCATTTGACTTGTTCGCCGTGAGTAGCACTCCTCCCCACCCCTCTTACTTCGCGGCGCTAACGCGTGAAACCCTGGTATTGCCATTGCCTCCATTGCCACCCTCTGATCTGCGCTTAGGCGCCTTGCTCCTGCCCCCGAGCCTTTCGTCAGACTCCTTCCCCGACTCGCAGAGACATGACTCTCCCACATCTCTCTGCCCCGATCTCCCGTGATGTGCGTCAGCCCTTTTGCTAGACTTGAAGACACACCTTTTTCCAAGTCACCCACCGCCGTTTCCCCC